GTTTATGGGGACGTGTTCATTACCTCCTACGAGCCGGTTGCTCAGGATTATCCTTAGAATATTTCGATGAGGGCTTGATGTTGGTATTTGGGTAGTTCCTTTGCTTGTTGTTTGCTTTGAGTCTCTGTGATCTCTTTATCCTTAACGGAGGAATGTATGTGTAAAATGTGATTTAATGGGTAAATTGGCACTCTGTTTCGCTTTGGGTCATGATGATCAGTTGCATTTTATTTTATTTTTTGCCTATTCCGTGTTGAATTAATATATTATATAGTAGTGGACAAGGCTAAGTTAAATTGAAAAAAAACACTAGGGGCACACCTTGGGACACACTCCTAACCACACCCCTCACCCGCTACAGTGCAGGGGGGTCCCACTTGAGATTTTTTAAAAAATCTCAAGTGGGACCCCCCTGCACTGTAGCGGGTGAGGGATGTGGTTGGGAGTGTGTCCCAAGGTGTGCCCCTAGTGCTCCTCTTTGTCACGGTGAATAGAAGACTTATGTTTGAAGACGAGGGAGATGCTCAAACAGACATGATCCCGTTAATTAAAAAAAAAGGAGTTTTGTATACACCCTACATCATGGGTATTTGCAAAAATTCCCTCTAGATCTTAGTATTTGCAAAATTACCATGCAAATATTCTATTTTAGAACAAAATTACCCTTAAAGTAATTAATCATCAACTTTGATAAGCTAATATGTAATCGCAATGTAGAACGAAATAGTCATTTTTAGCACCAAGTTGATGATTTGAGGGTAGTTTTGCAAATACTAAGATATTGAGGGCATTTTTGCAAACACCCATGTTTTAAGACGTACATGTGCAAATAACGCAAGTTAGTTTTTGAAAAACCTCTTACATTGGGTTTTGCATATAACCCCGTTTACCTAATATAATTCCACAGAACCCCTCACAATTTGAGGGGTTCTAGACGTGAACCTCGTTGGAATTCTTTTATTGCATTAACCCCTTAAATATTTTTCATTTTAGCATCCCCCCAACGCCCACCAAAGTAACACTACTATCAAGTGCAATGTGTTAGTGCCTCGTGTCGTGTGTCTATAGAAGATGAAAATACCCCCTCAAGCCTAAAAAATCACTCTCTAATTATTTCCCTTAATTTTTTGTCGCTTAAGATTACTTTCGTCATGTTCTGTCACATGCTCCGCACGTGTCAAGGATGTTGCGTCGGAGGTTTATGTGAAAAAACTTCCAAGATGCATGGGAGAATAAAGGAGTCCAAGAGGGTTCTGTGCAAAACCCCTTATATACTTCGGCGGGTTTGTGAAACTAAAATAGCAAAAGGCTTTATCTAAAAAACCACAAATTTAACAGGTTTCCTTAAATTAACCCAAAAAAGTGTTGGGAATTTAATGCCTAAATCCCTAATGCAACGGAAACGCAGAATAAAAAAAAGTACACCAAAATTTACGAGGTTCGGCAACTGCCTACGTCCTCGGGAGCCACACAGATAATTTCTTATTAATCAAACAAGTCTGCATTTTCCAGAATCCGAAATCTGATCCATCAAACTTCTCTATTCTCACTTTTCCCTCATCTGCGGCTATGGCTCCCACTTGAATCTGACTTACTCTAGATCGTTTTACGCTCTGATACCAGTTGTTGGGAATTTAACGCCTAAATCCCTAATGCAACGGAAACGCAGAATAGAAAAAAGTACACCAAGATTTACGAGGTTCGGCAACTGCCTACGTCCTCGGGAACCACACAGATAATTTCTTATTAATCAAACAAGAAATTACAATTTAGGAGCAGATCTCAAAACTGAGATTTCTCAAATAAACACTGTAGCTACAGTGTTAATAATCAAAGGGTATGAACCCTTTCAATTCTCACTTGAGAATAAATACCCCACAATATAAACCCCACTTTAATTCCTCTCTCTCTTCTTAATCTCTCTTTTAATCTCCCCTCAAAATTCCCGTTGAGAGCTGGAGAAAAATCGCCTCTGCGATTTTAGGGCAGCCGCCGCCAGAGAAGAAGAAATCGGAGGAGAGGGGGAAGAATCAGCAGCGAAACCCTAGGCAAAAGGGGGTTTATATAGGCGCAGTTGGAGGGCTGGCGACAGCCTGTCGCCAGCGTCCGCTTTGACGCCAACTCCGAGCCGAACGCAGAGCTAAAGGGGGGGCAGGCGAACGCAGAGCTCGGATCCTTGTGACGCAGAGTTCGAACCACCCAAAAAACGCCGAGTTCGAAGGTCTGCGTCTGCCCGAAGTTTGCGTCTGATCTCCTCAACTCGCCTGTTCGAAGTCGCCTGGAGATCGCCAACTCGAAGCTCGCCTGCTCGAGAGCTTCGCCTGCATCTGGTCGTCGACAATCTTGCCTGGGCTTCGAGCTTCGTCGGAGCTCGTCGGAGCTCCTCCGCCGTCAGAGGTTTGAATCCACCCCCAAAACTAACAAAAAGGAAGGAAAAGGCTAAGAGCTCTTGATATTGTATTTAGCGAATAACACATTGACCGTACGTGTATCAACCTTAACATTCCAATCGCCAACTACCTTTGGAAGAAAAATGACGCACATGCAAAAGTTCCCAAAACAATTGTCGGCATTCGTATCACGTGTCACCTGATGATTATCTTTTGCACAGTGGCAACCAAAATT